CACACGTGCTCCCACGTCACCCAATATGTGTTGTCCACGTGTTAGGCTTGAAAGTTCGCCACACATGCGGGGGCGTGTTGAGAGTATTTGTCCCACATTGAAATGTTAAGGGACCTAGCCTGGGTTTATAAGGAGTTGGGCTACTCCCCCCATTGCCAATTGGTTTTGGGACTTCCTTCATGGTATCAGAGCAAGGCTTCACGTGTTGGGCCCAACGGTCACACGTGCTCCCACGTCACCCAATATGTGTTGTCCACTAGGCTTGAAAGTTAACCATACGTGCGGGGGCGTGTTGAGAGTATTTGTCCCACATTGAAATGTGCTTATAAGGAGTTGGGCTACTCCCCCCATTGCCAATTGGTTTTGGGGTGGAATCTCAACTTCCTTCACCTACCATACTCTTCTTTACTTTTGCAGCAAGCAACATTATGGGCTTTACGGGTGTCTGAAAGTCTGACTGCAGGGTAAGAAAATGAAAGATAAGGTCATGGAGTGGAAGAAAGTGGCAGAAGAAGCCACCGGTCCATATGGTTCTTCATCTACAAACTTGGACAATTTAGTAAACCGAATGCTATTAAGAAAAAGCTAGATCATATTCCACCGGTCCACATATTCTTTAGGACCTTTTATGTTTGGCCCTCTTTGCATTTCTCAATAAAAACTAGTCATGTGGATTTCCTGCTTTTGGAATGCCTGGAGATGACTGAAGTTTGTACAGATTATCGAAGCACGTTTTCTTTTTCCATTGACAACAAAACCAGACACTAGAAAGTCTATACTCTATAATTGACTGGCTGCCAAACAGTTTTAGGTTTGAAAATTTACAATTATTAACATAGCATAGCTCAGAGAATTCACCTAACTTAATTACTTTGACCACAGGGATGCTTCATTCATAGTATAGAGTCCATTGTTATTGTGTGTGCCATGGACTTTTTCATAGGACTCATCAACCGAAGATCACCTAACATCAAGATAATCTTAACTAGTAGAAAACAGAGAATCAGAGACACGTTTTTGGGTTAGTTGGATGGCCTTGCTTTAACAAAAAGATCAAACCGCACTATCATGTCCAGCCTTGATATTGTTGTCATATGACAGAGCCACACAAAACAAAAGCAAGAGTTATAAATTATAGCGCATGCATACACTTCATCTAATTCTAAGATGAGTTCCATGGCAATAGGAGATAGGCCTCATGTTGTATGTCTTCCAGTTCCACTTCAAAGCCATATCAAGGCAATGCTTAAGTTAGCAAAACTCTTCCACCACAGAGGTTTTCATGTGACCTTTGTCAACACAGAGTTCAACCACAAGCGCTTTCTTCAATCTCTTGGACCCAACTCCCTTGATGGCTTGCCTGATTTTCGATTCGAAACCTTTCCAGACGGTCTTCCAGTCAGTTCAGATGAGGATACTTCCCAGGACATCTTTTTGCTTTTTAATTCAATGCGCGATAACTTCTTGCCTCTGTTTCTTAACCTCCTAAAAGAACTCAATGACAGAGCAGCTTCCAGCAATACCAACCCTCCAGTGTCTTGTATTGTTTCGGATGGTTTGATGCCATTCCCCATCACAGCTGCCGAAGAACTTGGAATTCCTATTGCTATGTTCTTTACTATTTCTGCAGGCGGCTTCATGGGCTCTAAACAATATCCTGCTTTGGTGGAGAAAGGACTTACACCACTCAAAGGTGAAAGAAACTAATATTGAAGCACTTGTTTACATTTATGATTCTATATATTGCTTGTTTCTAAAGAATAGATTTGTATGCCTGATCAAAGCTTAATTTTTAGACGAGAGCTATTTCACAAATGGCTTTTTGGACAAGGTGATTGATTGGATTCCAGGAATGAAAGGTATCCATTTACGGGAACTTCCGACAGTGTTTCACATTACAAATCCAGACAACATCTTTTTTAAGCTCACAGTGGAAACAATGGATAGAGTAGATAAAGCTTCAGCTGTTGTTCTTCTTACATTTGATGCATTGGAACAAGAGATTCTGGATGCTCTCTCAACCATGCTTATCCCACCTATTTATACAATCGGTCCTATTGATTTACTACTTGTCAATCAGATACCAGAAGACCCTTTGAAGTCTGTTGGCTATAGTCTATGGAAAGAAGAAACTGAGTGCCTCCAATGGCTAAATTCTAAAGAGCCAAACTCGGTTGTTTATGTGAGTTTTGGCAGTTTAGCGGTCATGACACCTGAACTTGTTGTTGAGTTTGGTTGGGGACTTGCAAATACAAATTATCCCTTCTTGTGGGTAATTAGGCCTGATTTCGTTGTTGGCGAATTGGCGATTTTTCCACCTGAGTTTGTGGCTGAAACCAAGGGAAGAGGTGTAATAGTAAATTGGTGCCCACAAGAGCAAGTCCTTAACCACCCATCAGTTGGAGGGTTTTTGACACCCAGCGGCTGGAATTCAACCATTGAGAGTTTGTCTGCCGGAGTGCCTATGATCTGTTGGCCACTTTTCGCGGACCAGCCAACAAACAGCTGGTGTACTTGCAATCAATGGGGCAGTGGCATGGAGATGGACAAGAATGTCAAGAGAGAGGAAGTGGAGAAGATTGTTAGAGAGTTAATGGAGGGAGAGAAGGGTAAGACAATGAAAAGTAAGGCCATGGAGTGGAAGAAGCTAGCAGAAGAAGCAACTGGTCCACAAGGTTCTTCATCCACAAACTTGAACAATTTAGTGAATCAAATGCTATTAAGAAAAAGCTAGATCTTATATCCATAAGAATGTGTTAATTAATGAAGTGTATGTTATTGCTGGTCTTAATTTAGAACTATAAAGATCTGCATATGCACTCCCTCCCTCTTGACCATCTATCTATAATTTCGTTTTGCTCATGAACCAATGCTTAGCTTGGTTCTACTTTCGTTCTTAATTTAATATATTGATATACCAGAGAAAACTAAGATTCTGACAAAAATAGTTTAGCAGCTATTGAAAAAAAATTGATGGTGACAACAAAATTACAGATTTGGCCACTTTCTTTTAAAAATCCTAATAGTCTTAATGGAATGACACAAGACTTGTTTAAATCATTTAAAAGTCTTAATTGAATACCACAAGACTTATTTATCCCAAAATAGTCTTTTAAAATCCCAATTAAATACACCCCTTTAGAAGCTCGGAATCCAATAGCTAGTAAGGGAGAAAAGATTGGTGCTCAAGTGGTTTTTTCTTGATTGATTGAGTTTTGGATTGCCTTTGCAAGATTAGTTGTTTTCTTGAATATGATATGAGATAGGACCTGAACTTGCCCTCCTTTCATTTTTCAATATATTCATGTGGCTTTCTTTGTAGCTTTCGATTGATTACGTTTGTATAGTTACAAACAACTACATGTTTACATAATTCAAACAAATAATGGTGATCGTCATATATATTTAATGAGCTAATGTTTCATTTTGAAAAAAAAAAAAAAAAAAAAAAAGGTTGTCTGCCATGTGCTGGTTTTTTTATATATTTTTGTTAGTTGGTGGTTCTTGACTTTGTCTTAACACCAAACATAAAAAATCAAATAAAAAAATAAAAAATTTGTCCCAATGAGCCGAAGATTCTGACAAAAATATTTTAGCCGCTATTTAAAAAAAATGGATGGTGACAATAAAATTACTATAAAATGGTGGTGGGGGTCCTCTATCTCTCCTCCTCTATCTTTGCATGGCTAGTATAAGGGAAAAGAGTCGTGCTCAAGTGGTTTGTTGCCTTGTTTTTTCTCGGTTGAGTTTCGGATTTGCAAGATTTGTTGTTTTTCTTGAATTGAATATTATATGAGATAGGACCTAAACTGGTGTTTGATAAGGACTGAAATGTTGTTTGCATGTATGGCCCTCGTTTCATTTTTCAATTCATGTGGCTTTCTGTCTTGCTTTTGAGTGCCTTATTAGTGATTGATTACGTTTGTATAGTTAGTTATATAAAAGTTACGTAATTCTAATAAATAATGGTGATTGCATATATGGATTTAATCAAGTTGGCTAGAATAGATGTGCTCTCTATTCTGCATCCAAGTTGAAATTCTCTTCCTCTTAGTTTAAATTAGATTAAAGTAAAATATCATTTCTATAAAATAAAAATAAAAATAATGGTGATAATATATATCAATGCTATCTCTGGTGGTTCTTGATTTTGTCTTTCTTGCAGCAGTAGAAAAAGGAACAAATCCAGCCGTCCATTACTGTCGTATACCCTGACTGACTCTTTCTAGGCTGCCGGGTCTCCTTGTCATAAGTCAGACATGGCACAAAAATGTTGTTAGAACTATAGAGTTCTACTGCATTTGTGTTGTGAGTGCAAATATTGTTCATACGTGCATACACTGACTGTACACACAATCTAAGATGAGCTCCATAGAAGTACAAGGCAATAAGCCTCATGCTGTATGCATTCCCTTTCCAATTCAAAGCCATATAAAGGCAATGCTGAAATTAGCAAAGCTCCTACACCATAGAGGTTTTCATATAACCTTTGTTAACACAGAGTTCAACCACCGCCGCTTTCTTAAATCTCTTGGACCTAACTGTTGAAATTGGTAAAAATTTCATGTGGAACCCATGTAGTAAATGGGGAGTGCAGCCACTCACGTGGGTTAAAGGGAGGAAACAAGGCATGTGAAGCAGCTGGAAAAGAGAAATATGTGGGCTGCTGATGGAGCATGGCTCGAGGCTTCTTTATGAGCTTGGTGCGCATGTGGGCATGTGGCTGGTCCCTTTTTTTGGCATGTGGGTGTGGCTGATTTTGGAGAGAAAAATCAGCCTTCATTTATTAACTATTAAATGGGCACCAAAGGAGAATAGGTGCGGCTGCTTTCTTGGTGCTTGTCTGCATTCATTGGTGATTGAATAATGCCTGGCATTATTTGTCTTTGCTTTTCCTATTTAACAAGGAGGCTTGGCAGAGAGAAGAGTGTGTTTGTGTCACACCAAGGAGCCAGAGAGAGAGACAGAGAGCACGGCAGAGAGGAGAAATGGGAGGGAGTGGACTGCTTGTGAGATGCAAGCAAGCAGTCCCACGAACTTCTGGAAAATGTTTCAGCTGGAAATTAGCTGGGTTCATCAAGGTTCAAGAGAGGATATATCTCTTGGGGAGAGAGTGTTTTTCATATTTATGAGAGAGGGTGTACAAGGGGTGTATCCTATTGGATACGGGACTCGGGTTGGGTGTAGAACTCTTGAGTGGTTAATTCTTGTACTTGTATCTTTCTCATGTTATAGTGAAGGTGGTGACTCTCCGGGGATGTAGGCAGTTCTTTGCCGAACCCCGTAAATTCTTGGTGTGTTCTCTCATGTATTTACTCATTGTCATCTTCAGCTTGTTGGTTTGTTTGTTTATTTCTTCCGTCGGGTTATGCCGTGATGGGGGGAAACTGGTGGTTCCCCAACACTAACTCCCTTGATGGCTTGCCTGATTTTCAATTCGAAACCATTCCAGATGGTCTTCCAGCTTCAGATGAGGATGCCGGCCAAAACTCCTATTTGCTTTGCGATTCCATCAGAAAAAAATTCTTGGCAGTATTTCGTAACCTCCTTTTAAAACTCAATGACACGGCAACTTCTAACAATATTAGTAATCCTCCAGTGACTTGCATTGTTTCAGATGGTTTCATGACTTTCAGCATCACAGCTGCTGAAGAACTTGAAATCCCTGTTGCACTGTTCTTTACTTTGCTGCAATTGGATTCATGGGCTGTAAGCGATATCCCACTTTGGTAGAGAAAGGACTTGCACCACTCAAAGGTGACAGAAGTATTCATAATATTGAAGCAGTTGAGCAATTTTTTGCTAAATTTCTTCTTGTTTTTTTTTAAAAATGATGATGAAATTTTTCTTGACTTGGGTGTTGCAGAGGAGAGCTATTTAACAAATGGCTTTTTGGACCAGGTCATAGATTGGGTTCCCAAAACGAAAGCTATTCGTTTAAAGGATCTTCCAAAGTCCTTTCAAACTACAAACCCCAATGACATCTTGTTTAAATTAGCCTTGGAAGCAATGGACAGAGTTGATAAAGCTTCAGCAGTTGTTCTTCGTACTTTTGATGAGTTGGAGGCAGATGTTTTGCATGCTCTCTCATCAATGCCTCCACCTGCTTATACCATTGGCCCTCTCCAGTTACTTCTCAATCAGATACCACAACACCCTTTGAAGTCCATGGGATATAGTCTATGGAAAGAAGAAACCGAATGCCTTCAATGGTTCAATGCTAAGGCGCCAAACTCAGTTGTTCTTTGATTAAAGGTGTCGGTCAGTGGTTAAAAAATGGGCTAGTGTTGTGTTGTGACTTTTATAAAACAATTTACGAATATGGTATTTATTTGTTCAATACTCATGTTGGTTTTGTGAGTAAATTCCATAAATAAAAACCACGTCTAGAGAGAGTTTAAGTTCCTACCAAAAGGAAAAAAACAAAATCAAGAAGTATTTTTTTTTAGAAATTAGTACACCCATAGTCCACTATAATAAATTATAATTATAATTATACATTATAATCATGGGCCAAGCGGGCTGGGCTTTGATGGGCCAAACGGGCCGGGTTTTTATGGGCTTCTCTGGGCCGGGCCTATGGGCCGGGCTAGGCTTTAGACCCCTTAGCCCAAGCCTAGCCCACACTTTGATGGGCCGGGTTGGCCCATGGCCCATAACGGGCCGGGCTGGGCTTTTTCTCGATGGGCCGGGCGGGGCCCCATGGGCACCCGAGCCCGCGGGCCAAATGATGATCCCTAATCTCTACCATATCATGCTTGGACTTTAAATTCCAAAATTTATAATCTTGATTTTGTTATATGATTTTGAATTGTTAATGAGGATTTTGTGTCCTTGTTTCCAATAGAGATGGCGCCGAATCTGCACAAAATCAGCAACTCCAATCTCTGTGATTTAGTTTTCCTTTATTGTGATATTGTAATCCCACGTAATTATAGGTAATTGTAACCAAATAGGAATGTATTTGGAGACCAACCCACCACTTGTATAAATATTCTAGTTCTATGTGAATACAAATCATCCAGTTTCAAACCTAAGTGAATCTCTGACATGGTATCAAAGCTCTAAACCCTAGCCTAGCTTCCCTACATTTTCTCTCGGTGTTTTCTCTGCCCACATATGACTTCTTCTACTGAACCATCTCCATCAAATACTCCTCCCTCATCCCCTCCTCCTTCTCTGATGGCTTCTTCGTCGTCTATGACGTCGCTTGATTCTCCTATATGGCCTCTCTTCCTAATATCTCCTATGTTGTTTCTATCAAACTGGATCGTACAAACTACATCATTTGGAAAGCTCAGTTCTTACCCCTATTGAAGAGTACTAGTTTAGTCGGATTTGTTGATCAAACAAATCTGTGTCCCTCTCAGTTCACCTCTGATGGTGTCACTCCCAACCCTGCCTATGCGGGCTGGCATAAGCTTGATCAAGAGTTGCTCAGTTGGATCAATTCTACCCTCACTCCTAGCGTGCTCTCTCAAGTTTCTCGTTGTCTTATAGCTCGTGATGCCTAGATCTCTTTGGAGAAACGTTTCAATTCTCAGTCTGGTTCTCATATTCTTCAGTTGAAGCACTAGTCACAAACCACCAAACGAGGTATCTCCTTCATCATCGATTTTTTCAATTAGATGGCTACTCTTGTTGATAATATGGCTCTTGCTGGCAAACCTGTGGATGACGATGATCTTATTGACCTTATTCTCAATGGTGTCGGACCGGCGTGCTAGAGCATCGTCAACTCTATTCAATCATGTGACCTTCTTATGGCCTTCGATGATGCTATTGACTACTGAGACTCATACTGATTACACCTCTTCCATGACATCAGATTCTGCCACAGTGTTTTATGCTAATCATGGCCATGACTTTCTCCAACCGTGGGTCCTCCTTTTCCTGTGGTGGTCGCCGTGGCAGATTCTCTGGCTCTCGTGGTGGCTTTTCTGGCCTCGGTTTTTCTCCTGGTCGGGGCATCCTTCCGCTCTCTTCCCAAGCTATTCCTTCCGTGCATGTTGCTGCTAGCCGTGGTGGTTTCTCTTTTCTGTCTTATGGCTCTTCTCATGGGTTTCACGATCATTGTTATAACTGTGGTGAATATGGTCATATGGCTCGTCATTGTCCCCGCCCTTCTGTTGCTCCCCAAGCGATGGTTGCCTCTCATACTCCCGCTTAGTCATCCACCAGGTTCACTGATAGTGGTGCCTCCGCTCACATAACAAATGATCTTGCTCATCTCCAGCTCCCTCAGAATTATGGTGGTTCAGATCAAGTTTCAGTGGGTAATAGTCAAAGGTTTGCACATATCTAATATTGGTTATGGTTCCATCTCTCAATTCCATTTAAATAAAGTTCTTCATTGTCCTTTAGTGTCTCATAATTTGCTTAGTGTACATCAATTTGCTCTTGATAATTATGTCTATTTTATTTTCACCCCCTTTGATTTCTATGTGAAGGATTTCGTCTCTGGGAAGACACTTTTCCATTGCAAGAGTGAAAATGGTATCTATCTGTTACAGTCTCCTTCATCCTCCTCCTCCTTTCCTACCACCAACGTGGCCCTCCTTGGTATCCGTACTTCCTCTCCTGTGTGGCATCAACGCTTAGGGCATCCCTTTCCTGCTGTCTTTCAGAAGATTTCCGCTCACCTTCCCCTTCGTAATTCTCCTAGCAGTTTCTTTTGTTCTCATTGTCCTCTAGGCAAAATTAGTCATTTACTTTTTTAGTTATCTTCTTCTGTCTCTACAGTTCTGTTACAACTTGTTCATTGTGATATTTGGACATCTCTCGTTTTATCTAATAAAGGTTCTAAGTATTTTATCTTATTTGTTGATGATTACTCTCATTATACATGGGCTTTCCCTATGCGTTTTAAGTATGAAGCTTTTGATTAATTTCAGTAATTTAGGACTTTGGTGGATAATTTATTTTTTGTTGACCGTGTGTGTACAATCAAATCTCTTCAAATAGATGGAGGGGCTGAATTCCTTAGTCACCAATTCCAGCATTACTTAAGTACTCATGGAATTTTTCACCATGTTTCTAATCCTCACACCCCTGAACAAAATGGAGCCGCCGAATGTAAACAACGTCACCTCATAGACATGGCTCTTACTTTCCTCGCCACCTCCCACATGCCTATTTATTGTTGGGTTGAAGCTTGTAATACTTTTACTTATTTAATCAACCATTTGCCTGCCGTCAATTAAATTATTTTTCTCCATATGAATCTTTGTTTGGTTGTCGTCCTGACTATTTTATTTTTTGTGCTTTTGGATTTGCCTGTTATCCTTACCTCTGTCTTTACAATAAACATAAACTTCGATTTCGTTCTAAATAGTGTGTTTTCATAGGTTATTCTCTTAGTCACCAAGGTTATCGTTGTGATGATCCTTCTAATGGTCTTGTATATCTCTCTCGTCATGTTGTTTTTTATGAATCTACTTTTCCCTTTCAGGTTCTCTCTCGCACTTCAACAGCTCCTCCATCCTCAATGCCTCCCCCTCCAACTTTAGTCGTGTCTTCCTCCCTCGTTGTGTCACCCCCTCCCATTCCTCTTCCTTCACCCACAGTCACTCATGTTGATGTCCCCGCTTCTCCAGTTGAGTCATCCCCGCCCCCCTCCCCTCCCCATACTTCTACCATGGTCACTCATTTGAGAGATGGAATTCAGAAACCAAATCCCAAATATGCAAATCTTGTTTTTTCGCAGGTATCTGAGATCGAACCTACCTCGTTCCGAGAAGCAAACAAATCGAATCAATGGCGCCAAGCTATGCTCACAGAGGTCCAAGCGAGGAACCACACTCATACTTGGGATTTTGTTCCTCCCTCCCCTCAATGCCATACCTTGCCTTGCAAGTGGGTGTATTGTATCAAACGCCGCTCAGATGGTTCCATTGAACAGTATAAGGCCCATCTGGCCAATGGTTTTCATCAAAAATATGGCATTGACTACTTGGAAACTTTCAGTCTTGTTGTTAAGCATGTTACTGTTCGCATTATTCTTTCTCTTTGCTTTTTCTCAGTAATGACCCATTCGCCAGCTTGATGTCACTAATGCTTTTCTTCATATTTGTCTGAAGAGGTTTACATGCGCCATCCTTGTGGCTTTGAAGACCCTAAATTTCCCCATCATGTTTGTCACCTTCAAAAGTCTATCTATGGTCTGAAGCAGCCATGCTTGGTTCTCCCCCTTCTATGCGTTTCTTAGGCATATCTCTCCTTATTCATTTTTCATAAATATGGCAGCTTTCTCCTCCTTTTGATTTACGTAGATGATTGTTATCGGTAATTCTTTGTCACATGTTCAAGCTTTTCTTAAGTCTCTTAACTGTTAGTTTGCTATGAAAGATTTGGGGGATCTCCATTATTTTTTGGGCATTGAGGTAAAGCGTATTTTGGATATGTTGTGTTTGACTCAAGCCAAATGTGGAGCCGATCTTCTCAAAAAGGTCACCTTACATGAGGCTAATCCTTGTCTCACTCTAGTTGCCATTGGCTCCCAACTTAGCTCTCTTCATGGCTCCTCTCTCTCTGATCCCACAGAGTATCGTAGTCTTGTTGGCGCTTCATATCTCACCCTCACTCGTTCAGACATCTATTTTTGTCGTCAACCAAGTTTGTCAATTCATGCATCAACCTACTGATATTCATTAGAAAGCCGTCAAGCGCATTCTCCGTTTTGTTCTTGGCACTTCTCATGATGGCCTTGTTTTTCGCCATGGTGACTCTTCCATGATTGCTTTCTCTAACGCCGACTATTCTGGTAATCCCGATGATTGTCATTCTACAGGGGGATATTGTATTTTCTTTGGCTCAAACCTTGTCTCACGAAGCTCCAAGAAGCAGCCCACCATCTCTCGTTCCAAGGGTGGAGCCACACTGGGACCAGTGTGGTCACGGGCCCCCACTCAATTGTTTTATATTTTAAAAGTAATATAGTATTTCTATATGTATATTATTTCAAATACTTTATGTTTTGATATGTTATGTTTTGATATGTACCCACATGTTTTGTGGCAGACCTATTAAGGTACAAGGAGTTGCTTCAAATTGCCCCTTTGCTCAGCTGCCAGTGGTGCACTCCAGGTGTACAGATTACCTTATTTCCATTTTCAACATTTAAGTAAATGTAGTCTTTGTCCTTTTACTTTCATTTATTTTTATATTACTCCATTTACTTAAGTTTACAATGTAAATAACCCCCTATTTGGATTCAAATAAAAATACTAGAAAATCAAATTCCCGCCAAA